TGCTTTGATGCTACCTCCGTCCCTTTCCCCCTTTCTTCCATCCCGTCGTCACCGCCTGCTTCATTCTACCTCTTTCCAGCGCTCGGTCTTACGAGGCTCGATATTCCCAGGACATTTGACCACGCTCGCTTGTGTTTCCCAGACGTGCTTCGCTCTGCTTGGACCTCAGATCTAATCTCGACGCTCTCTTTTGCACTGCGTCCATGTGTGCCACCCGTCTGAAGGTTCGCTTGACTCGAGTGACATTACGAACGGTATATGCTGAAGATACTAGCGACGGACCGGCGATGAAATGCAACACAGCAGAGTTACGGGAGGTAACCCATGATTTGGACAACGCCTTTCGTCGCGCCGATCCAATGGCCATAGCAAAGCTGCAAGGTGGTATCACACGGGTCGTTCGCACCTGGCTTCGTCGTGTCTGTTGTTTGCGGCGAATGAAGAACGAGTGAAAGTCAGTCGAATCGCGAGCAAAAAGGTGCTAAAGACGGGCATATCCTTCTGCTCACGTGCTGGTGCAGCTCAGACTACACAACCTCTCGTCGCACCTCTTGCACCTCTGGTGACCCCAATAGCCGCATATGGAGCACAAGGGCGGAACAGATCTCGAGGGAGGATAGCGCGAGGGCGGAGCAACAGCCGTATCGTAGTTGGCAGTGGATGCGACCCAAGATGGGTGTTGAGACTGGAGCATGAACAAGAGAAATATAAATGGCGCCATGAGCTGAATGAACCTAGCACGCTTCCACACGGAATGGCCCCTCCTTACCCCGCTCACCGCCTCTTCTCGTCTTGTCTCGAAGCCCTTGCGAGTACTGAGCAGCCCTTGAAGCTCTGCGCTCAGCTTGTGCTTGCCTTTCTTGGTGCTCGAACTCGACGCCCTGCTTGTCTTTCCAGCAGCGCTGTTTCCCGTCGCATTGCTCCTGGAGTGCAACTCGGGCCCAGCAGCGCCCCCATCAAAATCGAGATCGAGCTCCTCATCCGAAAGATTTCTCGCGTCGGCTCTGCCGGCCAAGATGCCCGCTAGAGTGCCAGTGTATGTGCTATTGCTTGGCAATACGATGCTCGACGTGTCCAAGCCCGACCGCGTACCACGCTGCAAGAAGAGGGGCAAGCAGAACAGCTAGTGTCAGTCGCTAGCATAGCGGTATCGCTCTGTTCGGTACGGTACTGTTACTGTAGAGGATGAGGCAGAGATTGTTCTGTCGTGAAGGATTTGCAACCACTCCCCACTCACCTCCAACTCCTCCAGCCTCCTCTTCTTTCGCCTGCTCTGAACATCACCTTCATCGGACCTGTAAGCTCTGGCCTTCTCCCTCTCTTTGCGCTCAGACTCGGCCGTCCTCCTGCTCGGTCGCCTCTTGGTCTCTCGCACAGGGGCTGCGCTTGCAGAAAGCATCTTGATGTGCTCTTGGCGATGGTTGCGGCTGTAAGAGGCGTGAGGCTAGTGAAATTTTCAGCAATTTGCGCGCGACGGATGTGGAAGAGGAGGAGGAGCACAATGTCGTTGCCTTGCACGCGCTTGCGCTTGCGTGCAAGTTGTACTCATCGAGTTTGCGTCGGTGCGTCATTATGAATGAGGCAGTCAGCTGCGTTTGGGCCCAGCGCGGGGTCGG